AAGTCTGATTTAAGGGTTGTTTATATTTCACATCATTAATCAGAATCTGCAGAGTTACTAAAGTAAATGTAGTGGAGTAAAAATACCAGGTTAACCTCTGAATTGTAGTGGAGTAGAATATATATTAATGCTGCCCATTATGGATACAAGCGATTTTCACCCATGTAGTAATTACATGTTTTAAATGTGTACACACCAATGTGTTTCCTATCGCCTAAACCTCCAGGGCTGTACACAGTTTAATACTGTCAACTTCTAATTTTTGGAAAAACGTCTTTTAAAACTACAATTCCCAGTGCCATAGAGAACATGTTGCGAAACACAATAGCCAGCATGTGTAGTTATGCGGGGGCGTTCGAGTCCAGTTTTGGATAGTCTGGTCTGGTTTCGTTCCATTTCAAAGAGCTTGACGCTCGCCGTAACCTTGGCGGACTGCCACTCCAACATCCAATCCCAGAGTTTGAAGATTAATCACAGGGTTTGTCAACGGGACTGTAGTCCCAAACGATAGCTGGGGATTATGGGTAGTGTAGTGTCTTCGGCCATCCTAAACTGAAATGTTTTTCGGATATCATTTCGGATCGGATATCAGCGTTAGAACGATTAACGAAGCACTTTTATACCAATAAAGGACTGGCTTATCTAAAGCCAGTTGAGTAGCACTTGAAATGTTTGGCTCTATGAAACCTGATATACTTATATGATTCTGTTTTCTTCAAGGTTGTGTCTTCCTGGTCGAATGTACTTATTGTAAGTCGCTTTGGACAAAAGCGTCAGCTAAATGCAATGTAATGTAATGTAATATCATATCGCATTAACAACACCACATCTGGCGTCACAGAGATCTTCTGTTACTGTCCTTTCTTCTTAGAGGAAGTACAGAAACACGTAACAGGATTTGTTTTAATGTTTGAGGTGCAATAAACGACACAGCAGCTTTTTGGCATGTTAAAAACTATTATTTTCTGCCTCGCTCATGAGAGTAACAGCTGGCAAAATTACAGCCTCGCCTACTGATTTCAAATGTGTGCTCTAAAATGATATTTATAAATGACTTATCATTATTATAAGCAAGACAATAAATGGCAAAGATATGTAGAAAATAAACGTATTTAAGATACGTTCATAAGAAACGTAACGTGGGAGAAAATATGTTTCTAGAAGATATGTAGAAAATAAACGTATTTGAGATACGTTCATGACGAACGTAACGTGGGAGAAAATACGTTTCTTGCTAAACGTAATTGAGAATGCAGTTTAGTTCTGTGGGAACGTCATTTTTAGGAGACAGGGTTGCCAGCACATATGCTCCATGGTGCTACAGACATTGCCCTTACAACTACAATAAGCATGTAAATGTTAATCTACAGCTCCGGCTCCGGCGTCTCCACCTGCAGACGCAGCCATCCTCATCAACTACTGACTGTAGCGTCACCTTGGATACGATTCCAAACAACTCACAGACTGCATCGGGCGCTGAAATTGCCGCCCTGTGACCATCAGATCTAACGACGCTGATTGGCTGAAATTATGTTTCGGCGGCATAGTTTACAGATAGCAACAGTCAGCAATGTGTTGGATGCTGCTGCTCTGGCTGAGGGCTCCTTTCTTAGCGCCCAGACGAGAGAGGGTAATGATACACGCTGCGGTCAGGCAGGAAACATGTGACTTATCAGTAACTTTAAACATCGTAAAATAATTTTAAACAAGATGTTATTGTAGATTATACATGTTACTGACACCAACTATGTAATATTTACCTTGTTCATTCAAAATAAAAAATAAAAACATTTTTTTTTTTAAATATATTTTTTTAATTTATTTTACTTTTTTAATGACAATCAAACATGTGGGAAGAGGGGGCGGCGCCCCTATCGCCCCTATGGGCTGGCCGCCACTGGCACTACACTATACACAGAATCTCTTACAGCGGGCTTCAGCCAGGCCCAGAGGGTTAGCCTTATTGAGAATGTGCAAAGTGCATTCTGTGCTTTGAAAATATAAGAAGAGGAGAAGCTTCTCTTCACGGTAACGGACCAAAACATCCCATCAGTCTCTCTGTATGACCTCTGAAGGGATTATAACAACAATTGTATGCAATAACTATAACATGTGGTGCCGATCCTGCTTCATTAGCTCTGCACAGCAGCGCTTGGAAGTGGCCTTGGAATTTATTTTGTTATCACATGCATGAGGAGTTGCTATTGAGTAACTTCCTATCTTCATCTCAGATCTAGAGGTACTCAGATCTTGTACTTAAGTAAAAGTAGTAGTACCATAGTGTAGGAATACTATGTTACAAGTAAATGTCCTACATTAAAATGTTTACTAAAGTATTAGCAGCAAAATAAACTTACATGTATTGTAAAGTGATAAGCGTGGATGCTGAAAAGGCTTTTGACTCGTTAAATTGGGATTTTCTCTATCGAGTTCTACATAGATTTGGTATACATGACACAATTATTAAAACTGTACAGGCATTATACAACAAGCCCACTGCTAGAATTAAAGTTAATGGATATTTGTCAAATAGCATTACCCTCGAAAGAGGCTCGAGCCAAGGCTGTGCATGGTCACCGCTAGGCTACTCTTCGCACTATACTTGGAACCATTGGCTCAATACATAATGAAGAGATATGGGGAATTACTAATAACGGGCAGGAACGCATGCTGGCTTGCTACGCTGACGACATTTTTTTTCTTTTTGGCTCAACCAACAAACTCTCTCCCTAAATTGATGTAATCACTTTAACAATATGGTCGACTGCCAGGTCAATATTGCTAAAACACAATTGCTTACTTACAACTACAGCCCACCAGGTGAAATTAGAAATAGATACCCTTTGGCATGGCACACAGAGCATTTCAAATATTTAGGCGTTATAATACCAAAGGATCTTTCAGAAATATCAGAATACAATTACTCACCTTTAAACAAAAAGATTAAGGAGGACATAGCTAGATGGAACCTTATTTAGTCTCAGCTCAAGAATTGAATCCATCAAAATGAACATACTGCCAAGACTACTTTATTTGTTCCAGACCTTACCAATAGAGATTAACCAAAGACAATTTAACGAGTCGGACAGAATAATATCAAGGTATATATGGCAGGCTAAAAGACCTATAATTTGTTTTAAAACTTTACAATTAGCAAAAGAAAAGGGGGGGTGGGCTCTACCTTCCCTTAAAGAGTATTACCGGGCAGCACAGCTGAGGCCCATGGTATGCTGGTGCAATCCATCGTATGATGCCCAATGGAAAACCGTGGAAGAGAAAATATTATCCATTCCCATACAAGTAATCATAGCTGACAGCGACCTACAGGGCTACATAAATAACATTGGAAATCCATGAGTAAAACTGACTCTTAAAGTATGGAAAACAATCATAACTGAGTATAAATTAGAGGAACATATTACAATTCTGAAATGGTGTGCATATGACACCGACTTTACTCCAAATAAATTAGACACTAGATTTAAGGATTGGACAGCCATATGAATAACTGCTCTTTGCAACCTAATTAAAGAGGGAACGCTGTTTAGTTTTGAAATGCTTAAAGAGAAATTCCTATTAGAAAAACAAGACTTCAATCGATACTTACAGATGCGGCATTATGTTAACAAAAAGGTTAAAACTATAACAGAATCAGGTACAGGTGTGATAGAACTATTTAAAAAAGCATATGATTCAAAAACAGATAGCAAAGTTATTTCAAAGGGCTGTTGAATCTTAAAATACACTCAACCATATATGTGAAATCCAAGTGGGAGAAGGAAGGAGGGGTTATCATATCTGAGGAGGAATGGACAACAATATGGAAATATCAGTGGAAATGTACCAGTTCACATACTGTAACTGGAGGGAGTTGGAAGATATTTTATACACCCTCTCAGAAGTCTCACTGGTAACTCCCCAGACTGCTGGAGAAAATGTGGAAATTCAAATGCAAATCATTATCACGTTTTCTGGGACTGCCCTGTTATTGAGGTATTTTGGAGAGAGATACATAAAGCCTTACAAGATATTTTCAAATGTCATGTGCCTATGGAGAGTAAGACTCATTTCTTTGGACTCATACCTCAAGAATGGACTAAAAAAGACAAATATTTATTAAATCTGTTGCTGGTGGCGAGTAAAAAAGCTCTTACAAAGAAGTGGTTATCACCTGATAGCCCAACTTTAAACGCATCTGTGGATATTACAATGGACATTTACAAAATGGAGAGGATAACTTCATCTGTCAATCACAAACTGGAACTATTTGTGTTACGATGGAGAAAGTGGACTGATTTCGTAAAACCTCATAGGCCAGATTTTATTTTTACAAACGTATGATTTTACTTTTTACTGTCTTTATTTTATCTTTGTATAAAAAAAAAGAAAAAGGCATTTCGGACAGACAAACTTAAAATGTACAATTATTATGTCTTGAAAAAACAATGTGTAATTGTTTGCTGCCAAATGTCAATAAAAAACATATTTAATTAAGAAAATATATATATAAAGTACCAAAAGTAAAAGTACTCATTATGCACATTGGCCCATTTCAGAATAATATATATGATGTGTTTTATAATGATTGATCATTAAAGTGTTCTCAAAGCTGGTAAAGGTGCAGCTAGTTTGAATGACTTTGTATACTGGAGGGTAGCTGGTGGATTTACTCCAGGTGGAACTAAAGTCTGATTCAACACTTGATTATATTTCACATCATTCATCCAGATCTGTAAAGTAACTCAAAGGTATTAAATACATGTAGTGGAGGAAAAGTACACCATTTACCTCTGAGTTGTAGTGGAGTAGAAGTAGCATAAACTGAAAGTACCTACAACATGTATTTAAGTACAGTACTTGAGTAAATGTACTTAGTTACATTACATCACTGCTCAGATCCCCGCATACCGAGGCTTGTCTTGTTAGATTAGATGGATCAAAACCCAATGTCACTCCCTGCTTTCACCTTTCAGCCGTTGTATCTCTGTAAACAGTCTTACCTGCAGATGAGCAGGATGGTGAACACGGTCCCTCCGGATACATATGGAGTCATTGCTGCAAGAAGAGTCCAGACGCCAGGTGGAGTTTATCTGCGGTAAAAGCACACAAAGGACAACAACACGCAATTTAGAGAGATGCAAGAGATGACAGTAGTTACAGAAGATATGGATTCTGCTAAATAGTTTGCTGCATCTCAGCGAGGATGTCAGATAGTGTTTGTGCTGATCCAGTGAGTCTGGAACACGTCACAGGATGGCATGTGCAATCTTTTCCCATCTTTAATCTTTACGGTTCCACAACTATTGATGATATCTCTCAGACAGGTAACAACCATTGCTGCAAAGTGCCATTTGGTTATTTTACACTCTCACAGACACTTACATGTGGGACATCTTTCCGCACTGTATTAGTACTAGGCACTACATGAAGGACATTCTCTCAACAGTACAATGACTTCTATTTACTGGCGACTACAAAAACTCCTCTGTCCGTCTTAAGTCTGGCACTTTAAGCTTAGAACTTGATGAAAAGTAATAGAGCATATTGAAGTTTACTTCAAAAAGTCATCTTTTTCCCATATCGCCATGCAGTCTCCCTCTCCCTCTCTCCCACTCTCCCTCATGCCTCTTTTAAGATGAAAGCAGTTAAGAGACCAGAATGACTTAAACACCGAGACCAATATAGATGTCAAGCTAGGCTACGGACATATTTAATATAATGTGGAAAGCAAACTTCTGTGGCTGTACTGGTAAAAGTGACTTTACAGTGGTGCGGGCGTGGAATACATTAAGACCTATCGGTTGGTAACGTTACATAATACACTGTGTGGTTTTGCAGCAGTGAGGCTTAATAACAGCACAGGTTTGGAATTGAGTCAAATTACTTGAACTCGAGTCCAATTTCAGTAAATAAAAATTATGAATCCAACTTGATCAAATTAAAGTCAACTTCAAACTTGTAATGACTTCATTTGGACTTGAGCCTTTTTTTAATTGGAAGATACAGTATGTGCCCAAAGATTTAAAATAATGACAAAGTCACGCCCGGTCCAACCGGGCAACTGCGTAGTATATGTGGGTCGAAACTTATAAACAGATACAATGGTGTAGGTGCACAGAGAGAAGGAGTGTTTTTAGTTTAGTTTATTAGTAATAATCTAAGTTTGTTGGAGAAGAAATACACCAGATAAATCCCTGCCTGCTGTCCTTTATTCACCGCACCTACACCTCCAGTTTAAAATTCTGTCCTCTAGAAAATGCATGTAATTGAAGTATTTCAACTCTGAAATAGCACCTTAATTAATACTTGTTGAAGAAGAAATTAATCAGAATTTCTATCAAAATATGTGTTTACCATCTAACCCTGCTTCTCTCTTAGTTTATACTCTCCATTGCATCAGCGCAAAATAACTCCATTTACATTTGTTTTTTATGATGCTTTTTAATCATGTAATCCCTTGTTCTGCCATTATACAGCATTTCATAAGTATTGCTTCAGCAGCAGCTTTGCATTTTACATCATGGTAATAAGGGATTTTTACAAATGTAGCTCACTTCACTGGACCACCACAGACAGCTGCTTCTGCACATGAGTTATACACGGGTACTGTTTTAATTTGAAGCTCTCACAAAGTCAACTAACCCACAGATAAACAAGGCAAAATCCTAATTTAAGGCCTGGGGTTTAAGATACTGATTATGTTGTACAAGCCCTTTCTGAATCTAGATATATGTTGCAACAATATTTATCCCCTATCCTCCCCAGCTCCATACTATTTCAAATGCATTATGTGCATACCTGTAATAAATGTAAAATACCCCAATGTCCCCTCTGACTGTAGGATGTATTCAGGGTTGTCAATTAATATATAAGGGACATTAAAACATATATGCTGAATTTCGACATGCGTTAATTACATGAACAGGATTGCTCATGAGTTATAATGCAATGCTATTGAATGAGCTCATCTGCAGTAAACAAACTTCCCTGGGACATTCATTTCATTAATTATAATTAGTTTCAGCATTGCAAAAGGTTTTACTTGTAGATGTGCAGTCTGTTTTGGTCCATGTGTTCATGCTTGGATCCAAATATTACTGCTTGTGCAGAGCTGGAGCTGCGGGAATGAATTGTCAGGAGTGTCAGGAAATCTTGTTCTGAATTCATATCTAGAGAAATGTACTTTGCATATTGTAGTTTTTTACTGTGGTGTGCATTTGTGCTTAGCAGCTTAGACTTCTTACACTGACAGAATTACATAAAGACAGCATAGGCATGATGGTAAAGTCCATTGTCAATTACGTAGTTGAGGTGGGACCGAGTCATTGCCTCACAATTAAACCCTAGGTCAAGACGTGCAAGTACAGAGTCTAGACCAAAGTCGTGAACTTTTTGAGACTTTTGAGAAGGTCATCTTAATGAAACAAAGTAATTCATTTTCAATTACGTTTATTTTGGTGAAATATGCAATAAATCAAAGTATCTTAAACTAAACAAACATTTAACATTGGAATTAGTGCCCTTGGAGATTTGATAGTAATGCATTGTGGGTATGCAGTGCGGTTGATGCCATACGACAGCTACTCTATTCAATGTTACCTACATTCAGAAAAACTCTCTTGTATGCAATCTATTTGTTAACCTAATTTTTTTGCATAGGATTCACTGGTTTTTCATGAAATGTCAAAATGTGAAACCTCCTTATTGTGATGTCTGGGCAGGGGTTCCCAACCTTTATTGTACCAAGGACCGGCAGATACATAAAATAAAGATTTTCGGTTGTCAATTATAACTGATTTTAATATTTACCCACCAGCAGGTAGCAACAGAGGCTAATTGTATGTAACAGCCTGAACAGATAATAGAACAATATGCATCCAAAACCAGAGATGTTCACAAGTCTTTTTTTGCAAGTCCAAGTCAAGTCTCAAGTCTTTGGTCACGAGTCCAAGTCAAGTCTCAAGTCTTTGTGGGGTGAGACTTGATCAAGTCTTAAGTCTTTGGTCACGAGTCCAAGTCAAGTCTCAAGTCTCTAAAAAATAAAAGTCTCATGTCTCTTCTGGTTGTAATAAGCCTTCTATTGTCTGCTGCTATCCAGTCTGTTAAGAATACTGCACAGCTATATCTAAGACATTCAAAGCATTTACTGTATTATTATCACTCCTATATCTATTAGCATACAGTATCAGTACTGATTAGTTGTTTGTTATATGATCACTTTAAACAGGCTATTGCAATGCAATATGAGGACAAACATCACACTTTAGCTAAATGCAAACAACTTATAAGCAAAACACTTCAGAATCAGTATCACAAATACTTTATTAATCCCCCGCAGGGAAACTGTGTTAAAAGTACTTCAAAGTAAACATTTGTTCTGTGCCATTTGCAACTAAAAAACTATTGCTGCAATATTATCTGAAATATACTGAACTGGTGATATTAAAACATGACCTGTTCCAAAAGAGATATCTACCATTAACACCATTTACCAGCCAGATGCTGGTAAATCATGCAAGTGGCTGGTACTGTATGTTGCACGCACCAGCCACAAATAACAATGGCAATCTATATGGCTGGTAACATTTCAACATTCACTAGGCTAGCCATTTGGCCAGTGGACAAAAATGTTAAAATTGTACCTCTGCAACCGTATTGTTTAATTACACTGGGTCTCTAATTACATCTTTTAAGTCTACTATAAATAAACATATTCCTCTATCCTCTCACTCAAACCCAGTGTAATGGTAACCTGATAAACCTGTAACATTAACGTTACGTGGTCAACAATAAACCTGTAGCCTGCCTATAAACCGACAGATGTATTTATGTATGTAACTATGTGTTTTTCTACGTTTAACGTTAGCCAGTAGATGGTGGCAGCGGAACGTAATGATTAACGTTACCGACCTTTTTTATGTCATGTCAAGAGTTGGATGTCAACGCCACTCAACGCAAACAAGTGTGACAAGCAAACATTCACTCATCCTTTCAAATATTCAGTTACAAAGCTAGTAGCAAGCTAAGTTAACATTACATAGCTGATGCTGAGCTAAACATGTTTGCTAACCGTCCATATGCGTTAATGTGACTGACCTCTCCGGGTGAGTTTTCAAGTGCCTGATGAAATTTGACGTTGTTTCCCCAGCATCCTTGATTTTAATATTGCAGACTTTGCAGTGTGCGCTCCTTTTGTTGGTGCCGCCGGCGTTTTGTTCGAAGTTTTTATAGTTGAACCTAATTACAAGCGGTACAGCTGCAGGTGTGCCGCCGGTCGCCATGGTGTTACCATGATGTTAATGTTAAAGGTGGGGTAGGTAAGTTTGAGAAACCGGCTCGAGATACACTTTTTGTTATATTCCATGGAATGCTCTTAACATCCCGATAGCCGGCCCGGCTAAAGTAACTGGATGGCCTACCTGCCTGTCAGCCTCCCATCGGGGCACAAACTTATCTCGTGCCCTCATTGGTCATGTGTGCGTTCGTGTGTGTTGGAGGAGGGGCTCTGTGAGGAAGTGGCAGATTTTCTCCGGTTGTGTATTTTCAAATTCTAGCGATCTCGAGCCGGTTTCTCAAACTTACCTACCCCACCTTTAATACGCCAAAAATAGAAAACACAATGATTGTTCACGAGTCCCAAAACACGAGTCCAAGTCGAGTCCGAAGTATTTTGAGCAGGAGTCCAAGTCAAGTCTAAAGTCTCTGTGTGTGCGACTTAAGTGCGACTCGAGTCCGAGTCACAGACTCGAGTCCCCATCTCTGTCCAAAACATATTAACAATGTTTAAAAAAGGAAAAAAAGAACTGGTGTCGTTTTTGGGTTTTTCAGAAAAACAAAAAATACGACGTTATTCAGTTTTTAAACCAAAACGGGAAAACAGATAAATCAACGTTTTGGTTTTGTTTGTGAATTCTGGGAAAAAGAGGAGAAGGCGCATTATGAAGGAGATGTCCGGTCGTGTGTGTGTGTGTGTGTGTGTGTGTGTGTGTGTGTGTGTGTGTGTGTGTGTGTGTGTGTGTGTGTGTGTGTGTGTGTGTGTGTGTGTGTGTGTGTGTGTGTGTGTGTGTGTGTGTGTGTGTGTGTCACTGGCTTTTGTTTTCAGAAGATATGATAGTGTTGTTCGTTCCAACTTCTTACAAGAAATATGCTTACCTTTTTCAGAGCGGTAGATGGGAAGAACGTTATCACCCTTGTTCGTAATGAAGCTAATGCCAGGAGCACATTATTTTAGGGAAACAGCTAGTCTAGCTAAATCTAAAGGTAACCATAAAGCTAACGATTGTAGATTTGCTAAATTAGGGGAATTTCTTTCTGCAAAGTTGGGTGTCCTGAATTCTGACATCAAAGTACAAACCCTTCTACAGCTTCAATGTACTGTGAAACTCTGAGTTTTCACTCTTTTGGATTATCACTCAATTTTGATTGTATTCCCAAGTGTAACAACAAAGTGATTGAATGCATTTTACAGCTGGGATTTGTGCCTCTTAATCTGGATTAAATATATAGCAACAGCAGCAGAGGCTCATGGGTAATACAGTCTCTAAGACCCCATTTACACGCAAACGAATACGAAACGCAAACGAACCGAATACGATATCAAAAAAGTATTCCGTTCACACGAGACCACTCAGGAGCACTGGAGACGCTGTAGTACATCTGCCGGGCCTGTAAGTGACGCTGTAATTCCGCCACAAAGTACACCAAAAGCAGCGAAGAAGACCCCCGAGCATGGTTGCCATGGTTGCCCTTCTGTTCATGCCCCACGGTGGATATAGCAACATGTAGTTCATGTAATTCTCCATGTCCACTTGTTGCTGATGGTTGTGGTAGAGGAGCTGTAGATGTTGCACTAACATCTGTAGCATGGTCAGTAGCAGTAGCACTAGCAGTAGCTACAGACCATGCTACAGCAGTGAGCAGCAGAGGCGGGGCTACGGCTTCATCGTTATCAGGAAATTATCGTATAGGGCGTACACACGGAGCCGTTTGGCCCCCCAGAGCGTTCCGATTGCAGATCTATCCACCTTGGGACCCGTTATCGTTTGCGGGGTCCGTTTCCGCGTTTCCGTTACGGCCTTGTGTGAACGAACGGGCTATACGCGAGAGAAAAGTAGCGGATACAAGCGTTTGCGTTCTCGTGTAAACAGCACCTAAAGCTGCACACTACTCAAAATGATTGATCAAATAATTGTACAGCTTTTTATACACTCTTTGAGTACTCAATTTACGCCATTCTATTCTATATGTTTAATTATGCAGGCAGTTCAATCTCCAAACACAGTGAGCACACATTTTTTAAGCAACAAATAATTAATGAATCAATATTTTGTGAGAACTTGTTTTTCCTCTCTTCAGATGACTTAATACCCCTCTGCCTGCTCACCATCATTTAGCAAGCTTTCGTAAAATCTACAGACAGGAGAATCCTTTATTTCTATGTTAGGTAACATTTGAGATGCCATTTTTTGTTGGATGCGCGTTATACCAAATATCTCCAATTATTTATCTAACAAATTATGACAAATGAGGATAAACTGGACTCACAATCTACTAAAACATACTGTATGTAACTGCTTGAGAGCTTCTGGAGCACCACCTCTGGGCTTTGGCCACATTTCACATGTAATTATGTATATTCTTAGAAAAGAAAAGCCTGTGGGGAAACTAGTGGATCTGAAGACACATCTGGACACAGTGGACAATCCCAGAAGGACCATCAGATTGTATTACCGGTGACACATGACTCTGGGCCACCGAGTCAAGGCAATGTCCCATGAGACAAAACCACATGTGACACAACTAATGATAATATGCACTTGCACCTACGGACGCACATGGTTAATCTTACCTGTCACGTGTTTGAAGTCTGAGTGGAAATGTACCAAAAAGTCACGAGGGCTGAACCTGAAACTGAACAATCTGGTGCCACTAAATGTTTTTAAAGCTCGGTTGGATGCTACTCAATCGGAAGCTATTAGTACCTGTTTATGTGGATAATTATGTAAATGATGCTGTATGATGTCCTTTTGTTGTTCTATTTATGTTTTTATGTTTCATGTGGAACTACTTGAGCAGGTCTCCCTTGAAAAAGAGATCAATGATCTCAATGGGATTTATCTGTATAAATAAAGGTTTGAAATGAAACCTGACGTAATGGATGAACTCCAAATAAATCACAATCAGACCACTCCAGTGACAGAAGGCAACAGCTCCATTTATCTCGCTAGACCACAGAAAACAATACGCAAGAGGAAAAAAAGGAAAAATCAATATAGAGAGAACCAAATTAAAACAAATGCTGTTCAAAAAGGCACAGCTATACTCCAATACTTTAATTTGTTGTTTATTTGTTATTCCTCTACGTTGACCATCAGAGAGGGAATGGAAATACACCCCCAGCTCTGGAGTTTTGAAGATAACGGAGAGCCTTTCCATTATCTTGACACAACTCTCATTTATGTAAATCCCGTTCCTCTTCCTTCCCTATAGCCTGCACTGTGAGCACTCGATCTGAGAGGCAGCTTGCAGTTTGATACACAGACTGAACAAAAATAATCTGCACCAATTAAGTAAGCCTTACAATCTGTGCTTACTTCACTTATTACATCATATGGCAGCTATAGTTTGAGAAATGAGTGGAGGACTCGGGGAAACTCATCACAAGGCTTCCTGGAGCATTGGCGTGATTTTAATTAGTTATTATCACAGTGTTTATAGCATTGCTCGGAGCATTTTCCTATTGACTTTGACAGCTTTTTATCTGATGCAGAGGGAGAAGAATGGCCAAAGTAGACACCACTGTTGATCAGGACTATCTCATACCCCATGATATAATGGCTTGTGAATGTCTACAGGTGTAGACATTCACAAGTGTGTTAAGTGTTAATCTCTGATGAATTATGCATGTATGTCTCCCAGTAACACACACTTCACCGGGGTCTCCATTAAATTAGTTCCTGACCTTCACCTTCATGTCACTTTATTTATTATTATGTGCCCAATTAAAGCTTGATGAGCATGTCCACATTTGGGATACTTGAATGTTGGTGATTCTAATGGCCAGATGGGAAAATCAATCAACTATTAAGTGGCTCTTGTGGTTTAGCAACAACTTGTTAACATCCTAACCCTCATTCACATCGAGAAGGATCAAGCGCTGGTGATGCAACATAATTTATTTAAAGCAGAACATTTTTGAAGGGAAAAGTATAGACAGACAGACAGATAGACAGACGCACACACACACACACACACACACACACACACACACACACACACACACAGGGAAACCATGTATTTGGCTGTTAAATAACACCGAGATAGCCTGTAAAATGTGACTACGCATGATTTTTTGTTGGATACTTTCGCGCTTCAAACTAAATCATCCCTCCATGCTTCAAAGTTTGAATCCTGAGTAGACTCATGTTTCCAGTCTGGATGAAACCGCACGCTGCATCCAAAGGCGCGCTGGTGAGGAAAAAGGCGCACAAAACGGACAACAAACGTCTCCAAAATTCGAGGTGCGGCAAACATGAACAGGTGCCGCAAGCATTTAAAGGGAAAATCAGCCGCGGTAATGAAGTGAAAATCCGAATTTTACCTGTTATTATCGAACGCCGTGGTGAGCATGTCATAAATGACAGCTCATCCTGGAATTAAGAGTCCGTGCTGTAAGAATGTCCCCTCAGATCGCCGTGGATGCAACCGTGACTTCCATCCAGGTCCAAAGACAGCACCTGCTGATCCGCGCATACAACTGGTTGTGCTCTGTCAGCGGATTCCCAGTAACTGATGTGGGCTGGACACGCTGCTGCGCAGTGACGCACGCCATGGACCCGCAGCTGATTTGTAGTCTCCAAATCTGCCCGAGATAAATGCCCAGAATATCTTTCATGATGACATCGTCTGTAAATAACCCTTTCTTAACAATATGAAGGACAAGAAGTGAAATGTTATGCCACATTTAAAATTGTTTTAACAACATGAGTAGAGGCATTTAGTCCAAATGTGCCATCAACAGAACAATTATGAATCAAAGAGATATTAGTAGAATAATGAAATCAGTAGGGATGTAGTACACATGCAGTGTTATCCTTTCATCTTTATTTTGGTTATTTGATGAAACTGAGCGGCCTTAATCCTGTCAGTGCACGCTTTACCTCACAGATATTATACTTTAATCTGCTTCACAGAGAGAGGAAAAATAGGTTGGTTTAAAAATGCAGGGAACGACGCTTAGGGGCTATAGGAAGGATGGAGGACCTTGCGCCAAGGTGTTCGCCTCTGATGGATGGATCTCGACAGCCTTCCATATAGGCCTTGCCTCTTGGCCTCTGTGTGGGTGTACTGGGAACTTTTCCATCCAAAAAGCCCCAAGGGGCAGTCAGTCAGGCAGCAGCTGATCCCATCTTACATGTGCCATGACAACACAGGGGCGGCTTGGTAGGGCAGGAGAGCATTTATAGAGTTGTATAAGAGATCAAGAGACCACCATCAAGAAGGACAGGGTTTAAGCATGGATGTATAACGAGAACTGGAAGCAGGTCCTGTTTAATCCAATAAACGTTGCTCGGTTACGCATAAAGTCGAAATGCTCCCGAGTAGGGTTGGGAACCGAAACTCGGTTCCAGATGAGAACCGATAAGAAAATGCCGGGTACCGGGTACCCATACAAAATACACAATTTCGGTTCTGCTTAACGGTTCCTAAACGCGGTAGACCCTGTATTCCAGCGGGTCCGTCTGCACCGCGGTGCTGCGGTGACCCGGTGGAATACAGGGCGGACCTGGAGAATCACAGAACGGCCGGTCGTCAGCGGGCCGTTGACGGCCGGCTCGGTACGCTGACGGCCGGCACCGCCCTTCATTTTTTTAAACGGCATCATATAAATTGCGCTGACAGGCGACAGAGGTCCACAGTTGCCCCGCAGCGATGCTCCCCCGCCCTCCCGTAGACATTTCACGAGCTCAGTCACTTCATAACACCAAAGATAGGTCGCGGTAAACACTCTGAAGTGAGGCTCCACTACACTAAAAAAGAAAAAGAAAAGGCAAAGTGTAATGCCTGTTAATAGCTTGCCACAGGCATAGCTCAGTTAAAATAAAGCACAGCTATTGTGCAATACATTTGTATTGCATGTATATTTTTTAGTAACAATTTCAGTTAAAGCTTTTAAGAATAAATATATTTTTGTTATCTAAACGTTTGACCTCTTTATTTTACAATTTTGGAATCGAAACGGGGAATCGATAAGAACCGGAATCGATAAGCAGAACCGGAATCGAAATCGGAATCGATACATTTCAAACGATACCCATCCCTACTCCCGAGTGCAGAAATAGAGTGCGTGATGAAGGATTTGTATAGGCCGACCCCGAAGTTAGCATCTCAAGGGCTACCTCAACAAAAAGTAATGAGATTTAGAAGTGGGTTTTGGAATAATGCAACAAATAACATCTTCAGTAGGATATCTCCACTTATGAATACGACTTTTCACGTTTTTTAAGCGTTAATGCAGTCACCCCGAGTAAAAATATAATGTTATGCTTAAAAAACAAACTACACCACGGATGCACATATTTTATGTTATGGATCAAAACTTGAAAATGTCTTCAGCTTGTGTGAATTAAATATCAATTTCAGGCATCAAAGCAAAAACATGTTAATTAAAAACAACGTTGACTTGAAGATCAGTGAAACAGAAGTTGTAAATTGCGAACTAATTCAGCAGATTAAATTACTTCACAGATTAACATGATAGTTGTAGTACCACAGTTTGGCCACTACAGATATTGCATTCAATGCACAACTCACTTCCTGGGGGCTTGGGTTCAAGCCACTCAGCTGACACATTCTTCACTAGAACAGAGAATCCCTTCGACTGATAAGCTTTAACCTCCTGGGGGGATGCTCTCTTACCAACCCTGAACCCTGACCTGTGGAAGAGGAAAGAAACACGTTCCCTATGGGGATCATTAAGACATTTATATTCTCTATTTCAAAGAGGCAGAGATTCACTCAAGGCATTTTTTGTCTAAAGTCAAATTAATGTAAATGGCATATACAATCTACAAATGTGTGTTTTTTATGCAATATGACTAAAGAGAGTTTTACAGTAAGAGGAACTGACATTTAAACAATCTCATTCACATTTGTGTATTTAAAAAAACAACTCATTAATATGATTACAGTTGCCAGGGGGTCCTCGCATATCTAAAGGTCAAAGTGATGTGACCTGGCAGCTCATGCTGTGTAAATGTGACGTCTTTAGTTTGAATTTGAGCCAGCACCTTTGTAACGTGCATGCCATCATTTTCAGTTTTTGATGTGGACTATTAAATAATGCTGAAATTAGGGAAGTCATTTGTTTCAGTACTTTTGCCTCTAGTTATAGGGAAAACATATTATTTTGACAATGAATTTTTCTACTCCATACTTCATTTTTCCCTTAGGGCAATTCAGGGCAAGAGAGCGTGCAAACAGAAAAACACAAACAATTCATAAAAAAACAAATCTAAAAATACTATATGACAAATGTGTTCAAAATACCAAATCTACCAAAGTGTGAAAAGTTAAGTGTAATCAGTTTTTTTATAGTGTGGGTGTTCACAAGTGTATGGTTTATGAAATACAACCAGTAGTCATTGGGGACATACATGAAGGGTTGTTGATCATTTTATTATGCTGAGAATGAATATTCTCTGGCGCAACAATTTCCTTAATATAAATAAAGTTGTATATTTTATTATCTTATGAAGATGAAACTTATATTGATATCATTACTTAACAATCAACTAATATGGTGCACTTGTACCATGTATTATTAAACATGTATCTATTTAGGAGATGTTTCCCAAACCAGTCAGAGGCCCCAGCAAAAATACATTTTTCAGAATGTTATCTTTTCTAGTGACAAATTACACTACTGCTATTTTTAACTTGAGAGGGTAAAATGACTGTCCACTTGTAACACATATAGCATGTTGTTGAAAAAAAGATGAAAATGAAGGAATATTCACTTTTTGGTTATTGTCAACTTTGTCTTAAATTTCATTCAAAGAGGCCTTTAAAAGTCTTAAGTCTATTGTGCCTTAAGCTGTAGAAATCCTGACTTCACACCTTCTGCATGTCTCAAAGTACACTCAAATAATATAAAGTCATGTGACTATTGGGAACTATTGCCTGAAAGTCAGTCTCTGTCTATCCATGCTCCCAATCAATAAATAAATTAAAAATCGCAAGTGATTGCCATCTGCCATATATTGCTGTCCTTGTACTGTTACATGTGTAATATATTCTGTACATCCTTGAGGTTTCACCAGGGGACCCTCCCCCTGTCATTCTTCAGGAAGGGACAGGTGAAAAGATGAGGCCGATAACTTGAAGGCCATCATGCCTTCCACCTTTTCCTCCAACAGCAGGAGATGAATCTCTCCCAGTCCCATATATCTTTCCCTGTCACATTTGAATCTTGGTATGTCGTACCGTCCACCTGAGCCTTCATTTATCTGCTGCTGCTTTCACCAAACCATTTCACCCAGGGTTATATGACCATGTGCATGTTTTATGCATGAGTCGGTTCTTGAAGTTCCATCACTTAGACCTTGGTCACCACGAGGAGACCAGATTAAAGGCTCCCCCTGAACCAAAACGTTCACGCATTTGTCCAGTGATCTCATGTGCTGTCAGGGGGTCAAGTGTGTGATCAATTATTTATATTCAATGAGTTGCAAATATTGTATATGTAGAGATTAAGATATGTTGTAAGTGTAGTAGTAAGTACGTGTTTGGCTTCCGTCCAATCATTCAACATTTAACCACAAAGCCAGTAAAGCTTGCTGGGACATCAGCATGGCTATGCATTATGCAACATTTCGACAACCACAATCGTTAGGTTGAAACAATTAATCTATTTAAAAAAGCGTTTCAATTAGTCGCAAGGTGACCTTGCCCTCCCAATCTGTGTGATGGATTTCAGTGCAAAGCCTCAGAAATTACTCATCCACAATTTATTTCCCAAGCACAAGAGGCTTGGAAGAGCTGGTTCTATGTCATCAGCCGTGGAATCTACTGCCCTTGACTTGGAATGGTGAAGATCTATCTATTTGGCAACAATTTCTGTAGCATTTAGTCACCATTACTTCTAAATTGACAATAATGTGTTGACCAAACACTTATCTTCACCCTATATTTGCAATAACTCTGAACGATGGACCACTCCTCTACTCCATGCAGCCTGAGCAGCAGGGGCTACATCTGTTTATTAATTATATGTTTTAAATTTGATAACACCAATGTATTGTAGATCGTGTTCGTTCTTCTCGAGTCCAGGAGGAAATTAAAAAGAGACAATGTAGTCCTGGAAAAGTTCAAATGGGTAATTTAATGAAGTAACGTGGCTTTGAAACAGACAGAGTAAGTCAAACACAGCGCCGTGTCGAGAGGAAGAAGAAGAGAGGCCGAGTCTCCGTGTGCATATGCGATTCCTGGCTTCTCGTCTCATTGGCTGCTTCTACGATGGGCGGGTCTTCCTACCGGCTTCGTTCTTCTGTGACTGATATCGCGTAAATAAGAGGATTTAGACGTTGTGTGTTTGTTGTATAACTCCACACGCCTTTTCTCCTCATATTTTCATTCATGACATTTTATTTGATACATTCTAAAAGGCTGAAAACATAGTTTGCATGTGGCTGGAAGTGACGTCATGTAAACAACGGGGTTGTCCTTCAATAAAGCTTTTTAAAATAAAACTGGTACATTAATTTCATATTCAGCAATAATAACATCTCAGCGTCAATAAGTGTAGTGTTAACGTCGGTGT